TTGAGTAAAGTAGCTTTCCTAGTTGGCCGATTCCACCGTCACGGGTTGGACATTTGTACAGAAAAAGTGTTCTTTCGTGTTTAAATTTAAGTATAAAGTTCTCTACAATTCTACATTTTGATAAAGCTGAACCTAATTGACTATTATAAGAGTTATTACAAAATACGGGCAAAATCTGATTTATTTCTTCTGTCACGGATATTCACGGATGTCAGATATATTTTACGAAAACTGCGAATTTAGTTCACTTTTCTGTGTGAACTTGATGTCTTATAATAAAACATAGAACCAGGAACACAAACAAAGCAAAAACTACAAAAAAATATGGCTTTATTATACAAAAAAATCTGAAATTCCTCTCTCACGGGTGGGACAGCGTTTGTCACGGGAAGGACACGCACAAATTTTTATATGAAAAGTAGCCTTTAGTGTGGTTCATATATAAAGATTAGTTATCAAAACATATAAGAAGCCAAATAGGGGTTAAATTCACTCACGTTTTACCTTAGGAAATGTGCCTTTTATATAAAATACAATGCCAAGGACCATCAGTAAAAAAAATTATTAAAAATTAACGTGATTTCCTAGCGTCTTGAAATTTTCACTTTTACCTACTTAAATTTAATGAACTACAAAACTGCATACCTAAAAATTCTAAACAAGAAATTTAATTTTTGGGTGTAATTGTTAAAGTTTGTTGAATTTTTATAATTTTTGAATGCAGTTTGAAATATGGATTTATGTGGTTCTGGATAGGTAATGTGCTAGACATTTATAAAAAAAACTATAAACATTAGATTAACAAAATAAAAAGTAAAACTGGACAAAATGTAACTTAACTTAATCAGCTGACCACAAGGGTATAAAGCTTATCAGCCCTGTAAACCTACCTCTGACAACTGTCCCACAAATAGCTGTCACGGGTGGGACATGCTTCTCTGTTGAATTATTCTTATCTAATAACGTGGAAACGACAATGCCATTGTGGTAAATATTTGCAATGAATTTCTAACATTATGTAACAAACACGAAACACAACGTCAACTTTTGTAATTAAATATAACAACTTTTACCTTTTTTTCACGGGTTGGACAAGACCAAGACTGCTTAATAATAACACATACTATAGATTAAGCACTCACATAATTTAATATATACCACAACTTTATTAAAAGCAGATGAGTTCTACTATATATTTTTCTTACCAAACACTTCAATTATGAATCGCAAATTATTTGACAGTGCATTCAACACAACCTACTTTAAACTAAATCAAAAAATTTACTTAGAACTTGATTTCAAAACGTAAAAAAGGTAATAAAAATGCATTTAAAGCTTTAATTTGTTATTTTTTGGTTGATTCAAGTTTTTAAAAATGTCTTATCCACGCGTTTGTTAGTTTTATAAAGAAAATAATTTTCGCACTGAGATCCACTTTCCCATGGAACCTCCCAGTTACTGATTTATAGCAAATTATGCATTTCTCTTAATTACTGTTAGATGGGATATGAACGTGATTAATGCCAGATTTTTCTCCAACTGTTTGCTGTATTTTGCCAAGGTCAAAAGATATGTCAAGTTTGGTTGAAATCGGTATAGCGGTTAGCGAGATATATACATGTAATCATAAGTGGGCGGGGATATGATATTTAAAAAAATCAACAAACTTCGTAAAAATGTTGAGCTTTTTAATTCGATTTCTAATAAAAATGTTGAGTGTGCAGTTTTTTAGCCCAATAAATTCTAGAATAGAATAAAGTACAAGTTTCAAATGACTAAATTATGGTATTTTATTTTTTTAATCGTTAGCAGTAGGCGTTTAAGATGCTATCTTAATGAAAATTAAATAGAAATGTGAAACTTTTAATTGAAAGTTCCTTATATTTTACTATAAAGTCCAACCTACAGAAAGCACAGAAGCTGTTTTATCAAAAAGTCCTTAAATATGTATGTAAATACATATTTCCTTACATAGGTACATAACTACTAGGTGGATAATTATTCATATGTGGTTAATTTGGATGTGTTATACATGAATTCACAAAAACATTCATGAGTGAAAACTACCGAAAGATTGTTAGAATTCGCTATTGTTTATTATTGACATCTGACTACGGAATTTCTAAGTAATCTTAACTTTTAATATCAAAGAATATTCTCGCCACCTGAAGTGATGTACATACACCCATAACCGTAGTATGTATACTCTGCGCATACTGGATTTACCTACATATGCATGTACATATGTACATACATATAAAACATTGTATTCCTTACCTAGGAAAGGTTTGGACAAATATGCCACATGCCACTAACTTTATGAAATTCTTTAACGCCTTCTTTACCCTCTACTTCCGCACGCCAGGAAACAGCTTGCATCGCTGGTTTGTTACTGCAACTTAACATCGGGGTGCTCAAGCAGAAATCGAACACACATAGGAGCATGCATAGTATTTGTAGATGACACTTAGCGGGTACATACCAGTAGATATGAGCACAGAAGGCATGTTTGCAGGCGAATATGCCACCGCACATAAACTCCAGGTGTGCAACCGTTGCGGCACGCACCACGATCGCTGTAGTGAATTATAAAAGCATATGAGTGAGAATGAAAATACCCAGCAAAAAAATCTAAAATCGCTTCTCGTGGTAAAGTGTTTACCTAAGAAACGGATGTGAAATCCAAAGAAATTGGTAAGCACTACCACTTTCGATTCTAATAGGCATTACTTTAACATGGGCATGCCAATGGCGGTAATGGCTTGCAGAAGACTTTGCATTTCCCGTAATAGGTTAAAGAAGCTTGGAGCGTAGTTCCATTTTTACAAATTTTAAAGGAGAGGAAAAAACTTATTTTGGCCATTTTTTCAATTATTTCCCAAAATTTTTAATAAAACATGTAAACAAGTAATTTCATAATTTTAAGCAAAAAACACACACGACTTCCATTCTCATATATATATTTAGGACTAATTTCTTCATGATCCAATTATCGGATCTAAACCAAATTAGTTTAGCGCCACCTCTGAGCACTACCTTTCTGATAGAAATTATCGAAATCGGTTGACGTGATCCAATGTATGCGGTAACAACATAAAAAAAATATTCCTACGATAACCTTCCAAGAAATAAATGACCCATTCTCCGCTCTCCACAATTTTATGGGAAATTTGCCTTTGCTCGGGAAATAGTTTAGGTTCTATTTCGATGACTTGAGCCGCCAAGTTCGTGGTGTTGTAATTCAACTCCCTGAATAACTCATTGGACAGTTCTCCAAACCTATTTAAAATTTTTTAAAACTATCAACAGCTCTACAATTTTGTTCTCAGAGATCGTGCCAACTGAGAATTGGGATTTTCTTTCATAAATTGAACCAGCCTTTCGAGGTTGTGTTTAGTATTCACGACTTTAGACCTGCATGAAATTAATAAAAAATTGTTAAAATTACTGTCTAGCCGCCAAAAAGTAAGAAAACAAGCGCAAACCCATACTTTTTTCATAACTTTCCAACGCTTCGCTACAGCATCGAAAGCAAAAGTCTGTTCGACGGAAAATTCGATATTCAACGAAAATTTCGACACGGTTGCATAGCTCATAATTCGAATTTAACATTCGATATTCAATATTGCATAACCAGCGAAGACCGCAAATCGAGTGCAACTCATAATAAGGGCCAGATTGTCGATCCGGGCCACCACCTTCCATAAGGTTTATTAAGGCGAAACCAGCTTTTCCTGTAAATCCTGTGAAACCTGCAAATCGTGAAGTAACTGGAACAGGGCTAATATGTTGTGTTGAATTCAAGTAGTTATTTTGCGAAATGCTAGGAATTTCCTAGTAGGAAACGAAACAATTTCAATTTAACAGCTTTTAAAAAATAGTTTAAATTTAGTTAACGCTGCATTTACATCTTCAGTAAATTGCTTTCAATCTGCTCACACGTATGAGTTGTCAACAACAATTTTTTTAACATCTTAACCTGAAGTAAATTTTAATTATACCAATTCACAAAAATATTTATTAAATGCAAGAATCAGTACGAACTCAGAAACTCGGTAGATTTTGCGTACTGATTTCGGGCTCTTAAAAATCAGTACAATATAAAAAACAGCATATTTACTGATTAAATCAGCGCATCTGGCCGCCCTAATCAACACTGATGTATGTATGTATGTATTTTTTCATTTCAATGAGCAACATAGTAATATGCCCGTTTGGCATTATATTTTTGTTAGTAAGACAAATATTTTATTATATTATAAGAAAAACTCATTTGCTTCGAAAGCACATTCGAAAGAAATGATTTATGAAAGAATCTGATTACTCACGTTTTTTGATTAATCAGGATTGTGGTTAATTACAAAATTATTTAATTTATTAATCGCACATCCCCAGTTTCGGCCTTAAACTATGTTCACATATCAATATTATCTCAATTAAAGCTCGTTTTTTAATCACCCCATTATTAGCCGTCAAATTTGTTGTGCTTGTTATTCTCACATCTCAAGGAAAAGTTATGTTTCTACTCTGTGCCACCATGATAACGTTTTTATGCTATAATAAGCAATATAAATATATTTTAACTTAACATTTTATTAAAAATACCTTTACAAACCTCTTTTACTTGCTAGCGTACATTTTTGTTTACTTTTACATTTGGCATTTCTCCTCTGTTTCGCAAAAACAATCGATAAAACTAGGATGGACACCGAAAAGTTATCGGTTAAATCTGAGATTATTTTATAATTACAGATTAACAAGGGACGAATTTTATATGGCTAATCTCTTGTTATAATTACAGATTAGGGTGTTAAGCTCGAAAATGAGGATAATCTACTCATATGTGAACCTAGTATTACTTATCTTCATCTCCTAATATAAAAAAAATTCTATGTACAAACAATAAGTTGAGAAAAAAGTTTATAAATATATACATACTTTGACTGACTAATTTATTTAAAAGCAATGTTTAAAATAAATTTCTCATTTCTTTTCTTTGCAGGAGGATTTATAATGGACGGAGATAAATAACATTTTATTTGTGGTAAATTTCAAAATAGTCGAAAAAAATACAATCATTCACATAAATATCTATTTAACCAACATATTATTAATATTTTTCAAACACACATATGTATGTAAAAATATCAACATCATGGAGAAACCATTACTCTTATTCTACGTATAAAATAAAGACATGCACGAAAATTTCAAAACTTAAAAAAATTAGGGGTCGCTCGCAGGGTTTGAAAATATTGTTTTTTTTTCAAATCGCGAAAATTCGATGAAATTGTGACTTTGACCATTTACACTCGGTGAGTTTAAGAATTTATTTGAATATGTTTCAATAAAATATCCAATTTATCCGATTTCAAACCTTTTATTTTGAAATTTAAGTAAATCTCCTGAATCTTTTAGAGAGTTTATTCAGTATTAATTCTAAAGCCTTGGCCAAAATATTTATTTCATTAACTACATATATGTACATACATTAGTGCAACAATAAGTTACTTGGTAACCAAGATTATTACAGTTAAACTAAAATTTCGTCACCTTCGGTATATGCCTTTGGTCAAGTAAAAACTGGTTTCATTGAAAAGATATATATATGTATCTAATTAGTTGAAAAAACATTCCGTGCTTTTTGATGAGATGACGGGTTCAAAACCAATTTTACGAGCCAGAGATGATCCCAANAAAAGATATATATATGTATCTAATTAGTTGAAAAAACATTCCGTGCTTTTCGATGAGATGACGGGTTCAAAACCAATTTTACGAGCCAGAGATGATCCCAATGGCAAAGCCCAGGTTAATGTGTTTTGTAAACTAAAAGGTGAGTGGTGAATCTCGATTGGTAGCAGGCTAACCTAATATTCACGTACGGCGCCAATTTACTGTCAAAAATTTCTCAAGCAAAATACAACTTGTATAGGACCAACCGAAATTGAACAGCGTGCGTATGAAGCTAACTCAATTTCCAATTTTTGTTGTGCGTGACTTTTTGATTTGACGTTTCGCTCAATGAAATCAAATGCAAACGCACGCAAGCCAATTTCGGCTGACAAACAAATTCGACGGCGTGCGTACCAAAATGCAGGCCGCGAATATTAGGTTAGCCTGTAAGCGCTTTTCGAAATTCACCACATACTTTCTAGTTTACAAAATATATTAGGGGTATTTTCTGAGTCTTGCAAAGCCCTTGCACGGTGTACGGTTTGCATAGCTGTCCCATACGAAAACTAGGTTTTGCCGTGCAATTTGTGCACCGTGCAAGGGCTTTGCAAGACTCACAGAATACCCCTATTACTTTAACCTGGGCATGTCATTGAAGGAAAGTGAGAAATTGTAAAAATGCTTTCCTGTAATGCAGTGGGTAAACAAGAAAGTAAAACATTTTGTCTTGAGGCGTAAGTTATGCGTTAAGGTACTGGCCCAATGGAGGCTTGCTTTGCTTTCTTCGCTTTGAGGACTGTCAAAAGTTATTTGGAATATACTAAAACGTATGAAGGCTGACCAAATAGCAGCTTTGCTTCACTTGCTTTAAGCGCCTCAAAGTTTCAAATAGGCAAATGTTTTATTTGAAAGCGTTTTGTAGGCTTTTGACAAAAAGGTATGTTCCCGTTCTTAATGAATTCAAACAAACTGCTGCACACTTTTATGAACAAAAATTTTCTTACGTAATTACAAAAAAATATATTTAACATATCGCTGGCTGAAAAGTTGCTAAGTCCATTATTGCAAATTTGACGGGAACTTTGAATACAACATTTTGCGTGTTTTAAGCAAAGCAAAACTCTATACGAATCAGAAGGATTCGATCTTTATTAAAAGATTTCTTATTACTTTGGCCTTAACGGAATTTCAACGCCTCTTTTGGACTTAGAAAATTTGCCTTTCATTAAACATAATCGAGAAAAAATAAAACAAGTACCTTAATTTCTCTTGCTTCGTTTATGAAAATATGAGGTCTCAAAAATTGTGAACTAAGCAAATTTTCACAAAGCAAAGCTAGCGATATTTATGATGTTAAACTAGTGATCAGTCGTCTCAGGAAAACCCGTTTTATTTTTGTTTTTAATAAATGTACATATATTTATATATGTATAATTGTTGTCATTCCTTTGAAATCCAAAAATTAAATCGCATTAATTTAAAAATAAATCCGAAGAGTTGTTTTGCATTTCTTTTTTTTAATTTTCTGACATTTTGTGTGTAAGGGAACAGACCTTGATTTTTTAACTGAACAGCTGGTAGCTTTGACAGAGTTCCAAGCCGCTATTTGGCCAAACGAGTATTTGAAGTAAATCAAAGCAAATTGAAGTAAGTAAGGCATGCAAAGCAAGCCAGCATTGGGCCAGCGCCTTTACTCCTTCAAAACAAAAAGTAAGCGCTTACCAAAAAACGAAAAGTTTTCGCTGGGTACCTACTCAGCTTATCGCTTTGCTCTAGTATTTTTCTTTTTAATAATATTCTTCCCAATTCTGTTTTATTTGCAGAGAGACTTCGATTGTTCGGGAGGATAGAGGATTCCAAATTAAACGACCAAAAACAAAATTTATTCAGCCAAAACTATTATTAAATACTACGAGTATATTTGATGAAATTTATTTAATTAAAATTAAATTATCTCAAAAACTAACTCAAATTATGAAATTATTGAACTGAAGAATTAAGTAATAACAAAAGTATCAAGCCAAAATGTTGTAGAAATTAAATGCAAAAGACATTCGCATGTGTGTGGTGGTGGAAAGTAAAATCAAAACAAAATTCAACATTAGAAAGAGAAAAAAACGTAGAAGACGTAAAGAACCAAAATTAGAAAGCGATTTAATCGTAGTTAAAACCAGCGTCAAAGTTGAAAACAAAATTTTAAATTTTGGCGAGATTTGAATCTTTCTACCGGCCTTTGAAAGAGGGAGGACGAAGTTAAGACTACTTCAACAAGTAAGCAAACCAATCCAAGGAGCCCATACTGTGGCAATTGGAAAACCGCGAGAAAAGTCAAAAGAATAAGTCGAATAAAAGAGGGAAAGCCAGTCGGACGCGGACAAAAACCAGCAACACATTTTTACAATAAATATTGAAATCATTGATAAGAATATCTAGCTTAGGAATGGGAAAATAACAAACTACATAATTGCTAGGAAGTTGTTTGTACCAAAAGGAGACACCCGACCACAACTGAAAAGTAAATAAACCGCCCATTGATTAAACACGTTTAAGAAGAGGATATCGGCTTGCAGAAATTATATGCAATACATATATGTAGTTATACATATAAAAGAAGCTACATCTAAATAACTACTCGCTCCCCACGGCGGTGGATATTGAAGAACTCAAATAAGACACAAAAGGCAATAAAAGTGGCGAACAATAACAAAAGTTATGCCGGCATATACGTAAAGACGAAACTATACAATAATATCCCAACTTGGACTCTTCTGATATCTAAATAAATACATATGTGTTAGTGTGCATCCGAGGCAGCACCAATCCAACTAAAACGCAAGGAAGCAGCAACTGCAAAGACAATGCAATTGCAATAAAAGGCATCGAACAACGAATATCGACGATTCTAAGGAGAAGTGCTGCGGTGAATAACAGAAGCCCCAATCCAAGGCAATACGACGAAACAAAACCAAGAGCGAGTGATTTCTAAGCAGCGACAGAGGCCGTCGTAGAGCTGAATACCTTCGCGTGTGAGAGAATGGTATATTGGTGTTAGTGATTGTCTATTAACAGTTCGCATAAGTAATAAAGTAAATTCTACAACAAAAACAAGCGAGAAAACTTCTGTGTGAAAGAAAAGGCAAAAACTTGGTGAGCCAATAGACGATCCACGTACATACACACACACAACACTGCCAGCGTAGTTGTTTGCATATGTGAACGCTGATTGTGCGACCATTGTGCGCACTCCGAAGGTTGTAGCAGCAACCACAGCTGCTCAGCAGGAGCAGAAGCGCTGAAGCATTACTTGACGACTTAACGGATAAAAAGGCAGCAACCAGTCCCCATTGTTGCTGGTAGAGGTATACAGCAGCGTCGGATATAGAGTTTGTTAGGTAAAATAAAAGGTAAAAAGAGCGAGTAGAAGTAAAGGAGAGAGCGCTAGGCTTGAGACGGGAGAGAATAAATACTTGCTGAGGCTGTTGGCATCTTATGATGTCATCAGAAGGGGACACAGAGTGTTTTGGATTGTACAGCGATGATAAGTTACTATTAAAGGCGGCCACAGCAACATTGCCAAAGTCAACGCTGGCGTCATCCTCGCCTTCATCACCGCTGTTGAAATTAGATACCGACTCTGTGGTGAAACAAGAACCGCCACCACCAACGCCGATTCAGCCGGTTAAAAGCGGAAAGACAAACTTAAACCAAAATATAGGCAACACTAGTAACGTCAACGGCGGTTGTAATAAAAACAACAACATCTGCAGCAATAACAGCATTGGTCCGGCTCTCGAGGAAACACCCGAAAGCGAGCGCATCGGCAGCGGTGGTGACAACGACAACGACAACGACGACGACGATAGCGACGTTGTTGTCGTACTTGAAGGCGTCGTAAGCAACAGCGAAGGCGCAACTAATAGTCTGAAACAGAATCGCGTTCGTAGTCGTAACCGCAGTGGAAGTCGAAGTCGCAGTCACGGCGATGTCGGTAACAACAGTGGTGGAAAACAGCAAGTCGTGCATGCCACTGAGCAAGTCAACCAAAGTAGTCCGTGTGGTGCCATCAATAAGACAGCAACGTGCACCGCTAGTTTTCCAGCGCGTTCGAAATCAACAGCAGTAGTAATTTCATCGTCGTCGTCTAAATTGAATAAAAAGAACGTATCCTTAACGTCAAGTGAATTTCTCGTGAATAAGAACAGTAATTCAATTAATTTGAATAGTAAGAAAAATTTTGTGAATGGTAATAGTGCTATAAGTGTAGAACCGAAACTATTCGCGTCGGTACTTCCGTTTAGTGCACCGCAACTGAACAACGTTTCACGTTTTCAGGAAAATACAAGCTCAACGTCGTTGCCGTTATCGCTTTCGCCAACGCCGTCTTCCCCGCTTGTGCCGCCTACAGCGTCTGCCTTCATGAGTAGTGCTGCTGCGGCTGTCGCGGGTGCTACTGGAGGATCTCTGTATGGAGCCTTATTAAATCAGACCACTTCGTCGACCAATAGCGCTATTAACGGCGTTAACGTTAATAACATTCCACATAACAATTCTGACGTCCCTGTATCCGCTTCTTCGTCGCCAACAGCATCCCTGCTGTCTGGTAACTTTACAGCGGCTCTTGGCAGCCTCTTCTCAGCAAACGGTTTCGGTTCCGCAAAAATGTTGAATGAATTATTTGGTCGACAAATGAAGCAAGCACAAGATGCTACCAGCGGATTGCCCGCTACTCTTGACAATGCCATGTTAGCCGCAGCTATGGAATCGGCCTCAAGCGCTGAACTTCTAAGCGCAGCAGGGCTAGTAAACAGTTTAGGTCTTAATGCTACAAATAAATTGCTCAATAATAATACAATAAACAGTTTGAATAGTTTAAGTGATGCCAATACATCTGCTTCAAATAACGACAATGCCAATGCTGATAGCCAGCAACCATCTCATGCCGCGTCTGCTTCACAATCGCCTAAAAATCGACGCAGAAGCAACTGCAGTGATCGGGAAGAAGTGAATTCGCGCGCCGTTGATGTAAATTCTCCACCTCGTGCGCCCTCCGTTAGTTCACCATCGGCAGTAGGGGATGCTGCAGCAGCTTTAGAAAGGACATCGCCCAGCATTCATCAGCAACAACAGCAGCATCAGAACGAATTAGCTCACCACATGTTAAGGAACATACTGCAAGGAAAGAAAGAGTTAATGCAACTGGACCAAGAGCTGCGCTCAGTGATGGGCCAACAACAACAACAACAGCTTGCAGAAGGCCATAATACGCTTAAACATAACAACAACAATTTATCTGCTGCTAATAACAATAACGTCGCTGACAAAGATTCAAAGAACACGATAAATTTGCTGGAGGACACCATGTCTGACATCAAGATTAAATGCGAGCCAAATCAAATACAAAACAACTCTCACCGTACGTCAGCCGATCGCAGAAAATCATCTGATTCTGAAAATGCTGATTCGCAGCTGGATGAAGATCAGCAGTCAGAAGGTGACAATATGGATCAACAGAATACGGATGATCAAGATGAACAACAGCATTCAGCCTTACAGGTAAGCGTGACTAAGAAAGAGGCAGAAGAAATTCTCGAAGACGTAGAATTGATAGGTTTAAATTCTCGATCTGATTTGGAGTCCTTGGCATCGCCCAGCCAGTCTGAAATGATGCTGTTAGAGAACAGCAAGGATGAGCTGGAGGAAGAACTTGAGAAAGATGTTGCTGCCACCATGTCCAAAAAAACAGGTATGGATATGAAAAGGGCTCGCGTGGAAAATATCGTCACCACAATGCGTTCCAGTCCGTCGTCGCATCAGTCGCACTTGCAAGTGAATGGCTGTAAGAAGAGGAAACTATATCAACCACAACAGCACGCAATGGAAAGATACGTCGCTGCAGCTGCGGGTTTGAACTTCGGATTGAATCTGCAAAGCATGATGTTGGACGATGAAGCATCTACTGAAATGGAGTCGCCTCAGATTCAGCAGAAACGCGTTGAAAAGAATGCGCTAAAATCGCAGTTGCGCTCCATGCAGGAACAGCTGGCAGAAATGCAGCAGAAGTATGTGCAATTGTGCTCGAGAATGGAGCAAGAATCCGAATGTCAGGACATTGACGATACTGCTAGTGATAGTATGGAGCAAGACGACAACGGTGTTGAGCTTTCTCCATCGCCCTCCTTAACAGGTGAATCTGGTTTAAATGACAAAGTGCAACCTGATAGCGAACGTCCAAGTTCTACCTCGCCAACTTTTCCCATAAAGGCCCAGAAACATTTGACCTCGCAAAGTTCTATGTCTCTCGAGAATGCCCCTAACATGCTATCACAAATGATGACCAAAATGATGTCATCGCGATCACTTGTGAACCATCCGCAAATGCAGCAATCATTCAATGGCCCGCTACCACTATTACAGCACATGCCACAGTTGCAGGGCGAGGCGGGTGGCAGCCATTTGTCGCACCCTGCCATCAGTAACGCTGCCGCTATGTACCTGGGTCAGCAGTTCTTTTTCGAACAAGAAGCTCGTATGGCAAAGGAAGCCGCTGAACATCAGGAGCGGCAGCAGCAGCAACAACAGCAACTGCAGCAACAGCATCATCAGCAGCAACAAGAGGCGCAGGAACAACAGCGTCGTTTTGAACAGGAACAACAACAGCGCCGGAAGGATGAGAAGCAACAGCAACAACAACAGGTACAACAAGCTGCTCAACAACAAGCAGCACAGCAGCTGCAGCGGCAACAGCAACTACAACAAATGCAGCAGCAGCAACAACAACAGCATCTGGAACAAACTGTGCCAACTGTCGCTCTAAACCAACCAACCCGACCACACCTGCATCATAACCGGCTTAATCAGCGCCATAGTAATCATTCTTCGCTTAAGTCCGAGCTGTCAGAAAAATTTAACATGCTGCGATCGAGCTCCAATTCGATTATGCGAATGTCCGGTTCAGATCTTGAAGGACTTGCCGATGTACTGAAGTCGGAAATTACTACTTCACTTTCGGCATTGGTGGATACAATTGTCACAAGATTCGTACATCAACGCCGCCTATTCAGCAAACAATCGGATTCTGTGGCAGCAGCCGCCGAACAACTCAACAAAGATTTGCTCATGGCCTCCCAGATACTCGACCGTAAGTCACCGCGTACGAAAGTTGCGGATCGATCGCAATCAAATCCCATCAATAACAGTAATCCAAGCAGCGCCAATTCAGCATCGGGACAATCCGTCGTGAGTGGAAACTCTATCGCCAACTCTGCAGCAGTTCAAACAGGTAATAATGGTTCTCTTCTTCTAGTTAATAATGTCTCCTCAACTAAACAACTAAATAACGGTCATAATAATAACATATCCACTAACCACCTGGGTCACCTGCAGTCCACTGTAAATAATGGTGCGCAAATGCATGTCGGCCCAGGACCCGCTGTATCTGTTGGCGGAGTAAATGTGCCTCAACACTCGCATACAAATAATCAATCAAGCGCTTTGGCGACCTCAAGTGGTCAGTCAAATACCCAGCACGCGCAGCAAATAGCCCAAATGTCCGCGTTGAATGCGCAAAATTGCCAAAGCCTCATCGCCGCCCCGCGTCTTAATGGCAATCAGCTGTCGTTTCCCTCGCCGGCTGCAGCCGCAGCTGCGGCTATGGGCCTGCAAATGCATCATGCTGCTGCCGCAGCTGCAATGTCTGCCGCTGCTAATCAGCAAAATCATAATCAGCAGATCACGAACGACAGCTCTGCCCAAAACCCTCTAAATCCGAGTATTAAAATGAACTCCAATTCAAACACAAACAATACTAACAGTTTAAGTACAATTAATATACCACCTCCTCATATACGTCCTTCACCCACAGCGGCAGCAATATTTCAGGCACCGAAGACACCGCAAGGAATGAATCCGGTCGCGGCTGCCGCACTCTATAATTCCATGGCCGCCGGCGGCCCCAACCAAATGAACCCCTTCTGCATTCCAGAGTCGCGTGAAGCCCAACAACAACAACAGCAGCAGCAACAACAACAATTAGAGCAGAACGAAGCCCTTAGCTTAGTTGTGACACCGAAGAAGAAGCGTCATAAGGTGACCGATACGCGCATAACGCCGCGCACCGTCAGCCGCATATTGGCTCAGGATGGTATAGTGCCTCCGAATCCCGTGGCATCAAACACCATGTTGGACGGCGCTGGAAAATTCAGTCAAATAGGCCTCCACCCCAACCAGCAACAGCCACAGCCCAATCTTACCCAGTCGGGTTGTAATCCAACAAACGCAGGAAACAATAGCACCAGTGCTACTCCGGTCACCGCGAATATTGCGGGCAATGTAAAAACGACGCCCGCACAAAGCCCATCACCATGTGCCCAAGCGGCCACCTATCATCCGCCGCCACCACCACCACCCATGTTGCCCGTGTCACTGCCCACCTCCGTGGCCATCCCCAATCCTTCGTTACACGAGTCGCAAGTATTCTCCCCTTACAGTCCATTNCCACCACCACCACCCATGTTGCCCGTGTCACTGCCCACCTCCGTGGCCATACCCAATCCTTCGTTACACGAGTCGCAAGTATTCTCACCTTACAGTCCATTCTTCAATCCTCACCCGCCACATGCGCCACCACCCCCGCACGGTCCACATAGTGGTGCCCATAGTACGCCAACCGCTGCCCAAATGCATCACATGAAGATGTCATCAAGCCCACCCGGCCTTGGCGGTCTGATGGACTCACGTGAATCACCACCGCTTCCTCATCCGCCATCAATGCTTCATCCTGCACTGTTGGCCGCTGCCCATCATGGCGGCTCACCTGACTACAGTGCCCATCTGCGCGCGGCTATGGATGCTCAGGACCGTAATTCAGATTGCAATTCAGCGGACATGCAATTTGATGGAATGCAGCCAACAATATCATTCCTGAAGCAGCAAATGATGTAAGTACTAAACATATTTTATTAAAATAACTTTGCAAATAATTAACGAAATTATGAAATTATCAAGAATGATATTTAGTTAACTGTCTGACCATATAATACTAATAATATTATTTTTGGCGCTTACACTTTTGCTAAGAGTTTGGCCAAGCTTATCCTCCAAAATTGGTATGCATCTTGATGATGTTACACAAATCGAGGGACCTACAGTTTTACGCCGCCTCCGAACGGCTAATGGATTTTATACGAAGCTTTTTCATGGCATAAATTCTCTCGGAGGTTTGCCATTGCCTTCCGAGGGGTGACCGATATTAGAAGAATCCTAAGCATGTATATGTACAGTGACTCAAACAAATGACAACGTGTTGTTTTTTTAAATATTCGTAATATTTTTCCAGCTATTATTTTTGTTGTTATTTTTATATAAAAATATCGTCCAAGATTTAACCAAAACCGTGTAAATCACAGTTTCAAACTTTATGCAAAACTTAGAAACACTCAACAAATTTTCGTCAAAATTTCAAATATTTATTCTAAATTTGTAGAAATTTTTTGGATATGCAGTTTTATAGCCCATACAATTTTAGTCTAATGACGTGCAAGTTTCAAACGTCTAAAAAATTCATTTTTGAGAATTTTTTTGGAGGCTACTTTTTCGGGTTTTTAACAAGCGCAATTTANGATATGCAGTTTTATAGCCCATACAATTTTAGTCTAATGACGTGCAAGTTCCAAACGTCTAAAAAATTCATTTTTGAGAATTTTTTTGGAGGCTACTTTTTCGGGTTTTTAACAAGCGCAATTTATAAAAACTTGCGTTGATATTTTTAAATTTTGTTGCTGACGGTCTCCCGCGTTTTATTTCATAAGAAATGCATACCTATATAAAAGAGTGTCAAAAATCTCAAAAATCAACGCGACTCTTAGCCATTTGAATCTTGCACTTCATTAGACTAAAATTGTATGGGCTATAAAACTGCATACTAAATAATTTCTAAAAATTCGGAATAAGATGTTGAAACTTTGATGAAAATTTGTTGAATTTTCCTTAATTTTTTATAAAGTTTGAAACTGTGATTTATACGGTTTTGGTTAAAGCTTGGACGATATTTTTATATAACAATAACACACAAAAATTAGCTCGAAAAACATTACGAATATTTGAAGAAAATCAACACGTGGTCTTTTGTTTGAGTCGCTGTATATTAGAATATTTAGTTCAAAAACACATTCTTTTTGGAAATTCATAAACGCTACATCAAAATATTGTTATTTGTGATAAAACAAAGAAACACGCATTTCTTTATTTTGAAAACAAAGTTTTTTTGGAGGTCGCGCTAGTCAGTTTTTTTATAAAAACGCTGGTGTTTAAATTTTTAGAATTTCATGACATGTTAAAATATAGCTAAAAATTGTGTTTTACATGTAATTACTAAGGTATTATTGGAGAATATTCCCTTAATTACATAGCTGCCTTGGATAGTTAGAATGGGCCTAGTACCCGTAAATATGCTTTCGAAAAGAGACTGCCAAAATGAAAACGTTGATACTGAACGTTTTGAGCATTATCATGGGCTAAAACTCACTATCAGGGGGTTTCTAATGTCGTATTGCTACCTCAAGCGTTTACGGATTTCAAAAAAATATTTTTTTTTAACCACTCTAATGTATATACACAGTGGTCGAAAAATTTATTGCCGCACTACATATTGTCAAGTTTTCACAATTTATTTTATTTTTTTGTTATTTACAGCCTTATTATTTATCGAGAACAATAGGCCGCACGAACAGTGCACGGACTTTAACACTTTATTGGTAGATCTACCAATAATTTCGCTATATTATATTTTCTACCACATTTACCAACAAAGGCTAAAAAGCTACTAATATTTCCGGAAAGAAAGGAAAGGGATTTAATTTTTAATTTTTTAGCATTCGGAAGTGAGTTCGCTTTTTCAAATCAAATTGAATACGGGAAAAAACAGCGCTCATTTTACTTAATTAGGTAATGGATGCCGTGATTCGGACCCAATCTTATGTATAGGTTTTTTATTGAATATTTTATTCACTTGAAATACATTGGTTGTGTTTCCTTGGGATATCCAGCTCAGTATCGCGATCATTTCTCACGGAAACGATCATTCTTATTGGGGCTTGCAGCACTAATTTTATACTGTTAGCAAGAGGAAGACGAAATTATAAAAATGAACTCACTAAATGCGGAAAAGTACATTCCAACGAAATAATATTCACTTAAATAAACATTAAACATAAAGGCGATTTATTTGAATCAAGTTAAGAGAAATGGCAGAATATCTATTTGTGTATACATTCATTTGTCAATGCTACCAAACCCTGCAGCAAACGCAGCGGATCATAAATTGAACCAGATTTCTATCAGAATTATATCGTTGTTGTTGCATTTGCGGCCATTTTGTTTATCCGGATCCCGATCATAGCTCAAGGAAATACAGCAATTTTTGTTATTTTATATAAAAATACAATTTATCCTAAGGCGAATTCATATAAGGTGATAGCAGGAGTACAAACACAAAATTTTCACTTACAAATTTTATGCACAGTCCCAGTAAGAATTACAACAAATACATAATTTTGGCATTAAGAACTACCGAGTCGGAAATCCAGCAGCTCTGGTAACATCATCTTTTCTGAATTCGCCATATTTTATCCTATATGAGCAAAAGTTATCTAATATTGTTTCCTTTAAAATATCTACCAACTTCTACCATTTTTTGTATGTAAAATCTACCAAAATTAATTTTTTCGAAGTCTGTGCACTGCGCACGAACGATTCAAACGAGTTCGAGATAGATAATGAGGCCGTTAATTTTAGTTATTATTTTACGAAAGTTTGTTAAATTTTTTTAAATATATATTTTTATAAAAAAATAACTAACAGTAAATAACAAAAAAATAATAATTGTGAAAATTTGTCAATATGAAGTGCGGCTGTCATTTATTCGACCACTGTATATCGTCTACACTCTATGATCAAATATCTGCCCTGCAACTTAACCCACTTAGTCTCCGCACTGCACGTTAATGTTTCTTAAGCTTCGCTGCTAATTTCCTCTTAATACATAAGAAAGGCTAAATCAAGTCAACAAAACGAAACCAATCAAGTGACTCTATTTGCATGTAACAATGCAACATTACAGCACAATAAAATAAATTCACTTAAAACGGAAAATGTAATCAAAACCAAAGTCTAAAGCAACCTGATTGCACCAACCCTAATTATTCTTAAGTACTTGCTAAACTTAACGTAGGTACATTCTATTGCAACTCACACGCCACGTCGTCTTGCAGAACCATTTCCCAGCAACTAAACGAAGCAACCATCAACGCCAAAGCCATTTCCACCAAACCCTGTGAACAAAGTGCAACAAAAAAGCAGAATAACATAGAATGCAAATAAGGAAAACCGACACGTTAGGTTATACTTAGTTATTTCAGTAATTTTTGGAATCTCACGAACTTCTCGTTACTGTAATCAATAAATAGTACATTTAAAATTTAATATCTTTACTACAGCTCTCTATATTCATTAAAAATTCTGTTTTTAAAATAATTTTCTTAATTTTTTGCTTTGCATTCCAAAAAAACTTTTGTGAATGTTTTCACACGTAAATTCAGCAAAAATAGCGACTCCTTGACTCCACTGCACTCGTCAACATTAACGCCAATGCACCTGCGCAAAGCCAAACTGATGTTCTTCTGGGTGAGGTATCCTAGCTCAGCGGTACTGAAAATGTACTTTCCGGACATTAAATTCAATAAGAATAACACAGCACAATTGGTTAAATGGTTCTCAAACTTCCGGTAAGTACAAATAACAAAATGTAATATACACATGTAAGTAACTACGTATCGTTAATTTACTAAAATACTGTCAAAAATTTATAGTAGAATCTTCCCGCATATTTGGACTCTATGTACATTAGGGTGGTCCAAAAACAGTAAAGTCGGAATTGTAATGCTCTCACCCCCTAGGATTGTTCTATATCGAAAAAAGCATACCCCTATTTTTTAATTTTGAAATCAAAAATATATAGAGGTCGCTTAAAGCGCTCAAAGGTTTCCATGTATTTTTAAATGGGAAAAATACATTTTTTCGTAGAAATGGTATAGAATTCTTGAAAGTCAATATTTTTCGATCGGAACTCTGGTTCTCTTCAGGAGACTTTCAATAATAACACCCATTTGTTTATTTAACCATTTTTTAATACTAACGATTTTTTATTGTTCGTCCCATTGCATTTTTCGGTGTTTTTACGGGTTTTTGGCGCNAAAGTCAATATTTTTCGATCGGAACTCTGGTTCTCTTCAGGAGACTTTCAGTAATAACACCCATTTGTTTATTTAACCATTTTTTAATACTAACGATTTTTTATTGTTCGTCCCATTGCATTTTTCGGTGTTTTTGCGGGTTTTTGGCGGACCTATAAATTATAGTTGCAATGGTTAAATAAACAATTGGGTATTATTGCTGGGAATCTTCTGCAGATAAGCAGAGTTTTCTGGTAGAAAAATATTGATTTTTAACTTTTGCCATTTCTACGAAAAGTGGGTTTTCCCCCATATAAAATACATGGAAAACTATGGGCGCTTTGAGCTACCTCTAAATATTTTTTGATTTCAAAATAAAAAAATTAGGATAATTTTTTTCGGTAAAGAACAATCCTAGGGGGTGAGAGCATAAAAAATCCGACTTTACTTTTTTACATGTATTTTTGGACCACCCTAGTGTACATACGATCATTCAATATTAAACGAAAAGGTGATTTCCTGCGCAATGGCCTAGAGTTCACTCTTTAACCCCACGTCTCCATTTTCTACTAAATGTGTCTTAACATCTGCCAAATTTCTGATTTAACTTTGTCCCACTTTCTCATGTGAGCAACTTGCTGTCTTAACATATGACTTTTCCAAATGGCATCAAGCCAACCAGATCGATCTGTACCCAATGTAGATGGCGCGGTAAAATGAAAACTTAGTTGTCAAACTACCAAGTGACAGCTGATGTTAAGACAGTGATGGTAAGAAATTCGGCAAGACAGATATGGTTTAACAGTGGAAATTTGCGGTCTCCACCTGACATTTCTGTCTTAACACAGTTTGTTTAACAGAATCTGTAGAAGGTGGAGACAAACTGACTGAAATGCAAAGAGCACAGTATATACAGTATTAAACCTTTTCGCAGTTTTTCACCATTTGGTCCCCGAGGAGTACTTTTGGGTTGTGTGCAGCGTTTTCGTTTTGCGCGCACGGCAACACTTACTGTGGGGAATTTCGCCTCATGATTATAAAAAATTCATTTCGAGGATAAAATATACATAATTATGTGTTATATATGAACAAAATGTAGGTTAAGTATAATATTTATCTTTAATGTACGCTGATATTCATGCTTAATGAAGAATAATAGGGGTCTTCATTAAAAGTGATAAACTCTTGATAAACTTGATAAAGTGATAAATTTATCATTTTGGTAAATGAACTGTCAAACTTTGTATGGAAATCTATTTAACCAAAGTTTATCACTTTATCAAACGACCTTGGTGGATAAATGTATAAATTCCAGCAAAATTTAACCCCCACAGGTTGCCAGGTAGTCGCTTTTGCTACGAACACATAAAGGCAAATGAACACAATGGACGAGGTAAGAATGAAACGTAACTAGCCATACAAGTTAAATAATAAACAGTTTTATGCAATTATTTACCAAGGTGCGTTCATGAAAGAAGGCGGATAAACTGATAAATTTAAGCAATTCATCACTTTAGATGAAGACTCCTAATATCAATAGTCAAGTACATAATTAACGCTTATATTTTATAAACTGGAAAACTCAAATCGTAATTATAGCATTAAATGGAGTTTTCTTAAATGTAAGTTTAAAATATAAAAAGGTCCATTGTAAGACTCAATTTTTTATGAAAAACGTTAATTTTGTGAATTTATCAAGCCAAACTCTAAATTTCCGAATATATTTTAGCGCATCCGCCCAGACAGTTCATTAAGCACACCCAAGCTTGAGTGATCTACAAGTTACAAGCGTTTTCAGCATTAACCAGTTCATTATCATGTACGGTGTAATATAACAAATCCTGTCCTAGTATCTATAATAATAGATAAAAATTTGCAATGTTTTTAAACTTTTGCAATTGGTTTCGGGCACTATTACACAGTCATGACTTGTGCTACTCTGCCATAGTACGGTTGTTGCTCCCTTTCATACCACAGAAATTTTGTATACAACTCTGAATCAACAAAATTCATGCTCCTTCTCATTATCAACCGTGATCAGATTTTACCCCCGAGGAGTACTCAAAAAGGCTTATACTGTGGCAAAGAGCGAGAAAACTGTGCTGTACCATGATTCAATAATACAAGGTTAGATAATTATTGACAGCCGCGGTTTGACTCTCCCTTACAAAAGGTTGCATTTCCGAAGGATGGAGAATGGGGAAGAATGATATCTCTTGGTGCAAAAATGGTAGTAGAAAAGTACGCAAAGTAGGCAATTAGTAGTGAAATTCCTTTTGTAAATTCTAATGTATTTGCAGGAAATCTGGCATTTTAAACGAAATATTTAACGTAATATTGATATATCTACATGAATTACGTCATTTATGTGCTATTTAGCTGGATAAAAACTGCAAAATGACTCAAAATAAAAATAACACTACTATGGGTTTGATGTAAACATCCAATTTAAAAACAATTTATGTTTTCATCAGTTAAATATGCTTCATATGCATATACAAATAAACATATTGCACAAAAGCTTATACTTCTATTTCACAGTAAAGCTACACTTTTTCCAAGTAAATCTGCAAAGAAGCAACACGGTGCCACTGCTAAGGAAGCGATGCGAGAGAGACAGCTGTCAGTTTATCCCTGTGGACAACTGAGAACGGCAAATAAAACTGCCCTCTAGTGATGTGCTGAATTGTCGGTACCCAATACTTAAAAGGTTTCGGTACCCAATACTTCCTTATCGGTACCCGATACCGAATTTTTACATTAAACCTTCGCCATTATATGCATTTTAAGTTTAGAAAAAACTTGCATTATTAATTTATATTAAATCGGCACACTTGAACTTATCGCAACAGAGAAATATTATTTTATCAGCTTTAACCTTAGTCGCTCCAAGGTTCAAGAAAAAAACTTCGACGGTTGAAGAAGCCTTTCAGCTCCCTCCTGCAACCAGTTAGCTACAAGTTTCGGATCGATATCGCACTTGTTGACATAAAAATATTTCTTATCATACGTCAACAAAACCGATACCGATTCGAAAATTGTGGCTAACTGGTTAGAGAATCTGCCCCCAGGCCTACAAAAATGATATCGTCCGATTCAGCTGGAACAAAAATGCTTCAAACAAGTAAGAGTTTCTCTGCATTATGGCCTCGAACCGACATATATACATCTTTCATTTTAATCAGTATTAAAAGCTCTATTGGCTCCTACATTCGGGTTTTGATAGGCGAATCTCCCCTGAACCGTTTTTTCCATCGTTTTGGCCTATGTGTGCTTTTATTCGAAACCTAAATGCTTCGGTACCGAGTATCGAGAGTATTGGATACTTAAAAGTATTGACTTAGCACACCACTACTGCTGTCATCTCATTCACTGAGAGCCGATTACACTATGTAACAAGGTTTTTGTCCCTGGGTTGTAATTGTTATTTCCTAGTCAGTTAGGTCCCAAAAGTATAGAAAACAGCTATTGTCGCAAGATAACTTTGCTTTTGTGACCATGGCAGCGCATGGCATGGGTCTTATAAAGCAATTCGTCAAAGCTCTCGACAAAAATTCTTCAGCGTTCAAGTACCTACAAGACTTGTTCCCTAAGCTCTCTGAGGCGAAAGTTACAGCCGGTATCTTCGTTGGACCACAAATAAAGAAAATCTTCGAGTCTGAGGAATTCCCCAAGAAGCTCACTCGTTAAAGTCACATGTCAGAGGAAGCGTCACGACAGCAAAGTTTCCGAGGAATATTAGGTGGTTTCCATACTTTTAAGGCATAACAGACTAGGAAATAACAATCACATCCCAAGGACTGAGAAATTTTTTTTTTTGTTACTTAATGTTAGCGGTGCTGCCATCGGCGCACTATGGGACTACAGCGGCCAAAAGTAGTAAAAACAGATAAGCAAATTCTGAAAAAATAATTACTAATAATTAATATTTGCAATCATGATACGAGCTTAAAATAGGAGCAATGCGAGAAAATAAATTTGTAAGAAAAGATTTTCATTTTTTCGCAAGTAATTTGAATTCATTTTTCCACTTGTGCGGATATATAAAAAGCCAATCTAATTGATGAGCAGTTTTTGAATACATCTGTGGTCAAACATTGCTTTAAATTTTTATACATCTTTTGAATTGCATAAAACAGTTTACCATGAAATTCTACATAATTTTGTGAGTGTAAAATTTTTCGAGTGCTTACTTTTAAAAGGGATATTAAAAAAGGACCCAGGAAGCGAGCTAAATTATACTTAGGACAAGTTAGCATTAAATATGCGTGTCATATCTCCTTTTCTAGACTAACCTCCTGTAAAATTTATTGAATTTTTATTGTAGAGTAAAAAGGAAAGACTCTGATATGTATATTAAATGAATGATATGCAATATAAAGTGGAAATTAAAGAAGGTGTAGATATTAATGACTCGCCAATCTATTACTCCCAATCAACGTTCAGCCAAAAATGGACGTTTCTCCGGACGGGATCCGTTTTCGATGGCAAGAGTCCTGCTTGCCTTAGGTCAGCTTTTGTGGTATAAAATGTAGGTAAAATTGAAAGTTTCA